TTACAGGAATTAAAATGAATACAAACAAAATAAACCAAAGGAAAGAGCAAAAGAAGAGAAAGTATCTAATGTTGATCCAAAGTATGTAAACTTGTTGCTCCTGTTCAGGGTTGCTAAGTATCCTCTGGTCTAAATCCATTTCTGGGTTCGAAGAATATGAGTCTAGAAAGTAGTCTACTAATGTTGATCCAAAGTATATAAACTAGATAAACTAGATACTCCTATTCAGGGTTAATAGATAAGTATAAGTAAGTATCCTCTGGTCTATTTCCTTTTCTGGGCTGGAAGAACAGGAGTCTAAAACGTAGTTGCTGCGGTAGTTTTTCTGGATTCTAAGTTTGAAATGGGGAGGAAAAACACCACATGCCTTTTGATCCATGTGCATTGGATGGAATCAATAGCTGCCATTTAATCTGGTTATAATGTATGGGTATTAAACCCCCCCCAGGTTCTCCAGCCTCAGCAGCAAAGAGCAATGCTGAGACCTCAGGTAACTCTACCCACCACCCCCATGATGGCTCTGCGGAATCAAACCCCGGGTCGGATCATGGTGGGACAGCAGCAAGTGCAGCTTAAAGAGCTGCAGCCAGGTGAGGCGTCACCCTGACAACGCCGTTGTTTTTGTTTCTGTGTCTTTCTGCATCCACGTAGTTTAATCTCTCATTTCTCCCCCATCCCCTCTGCTACACACATTGCAGCGGTTCAACTGAGACCCGAGGTGACGCTTGTTTCCAGGCAAGTCTCCGCCGTTGCCTTGACGCAGGCACAGAAGAACAAGCTGAAAGAAGCGGGTGGCACTTTCAAGTGAGACTCTTCATCTCTTTTTCTGCTCTTGGTTTCGTGCCTTGCGAAAAGCACAGACGCCCTTTGAGCATTTTCAAAAAAGCGTCGAGTCACAACCCGCAAATTATTATTTTTGATTTGGTCCTAAAAAGAAAAGGCACCGACAGTCATAAGATTTCTGCTGACTTCTTCAGGCAGTAGAAACTCTCTTTTTTTTCATCACCCAAACTCTTTTATTAAATGAGTCTTGTGCAGAAGTTGGTGATGTTTTCAAGTTGGTATACAAAGATGAACCCAAAGTGATAGAAAACTACAGACCCAACTGTGTCATGTAATAGGCCAACATGAATGACCATAATGGGGCACATTTGTAAAGTCGAAGGAAAAATATACATGTTTCAGAATTAATGTGAAATGTGTCTCACACATCTCTGTTTATCCCCCTTCAGTACTTTCCACTCATTATTGCATTTGAAACTTTTAAATTATTGTCCAGAAACCATCATCTGTAGAAAAAGCATGTATCAATCCTCTGTTTGTGTATGTTTCATGGTTGTTGTTTTTTTTTTTTTTTTATTTTTTGTTAAATTTTCATTTGTGGCCCTAAACGAGTTTTACTCTGTAATCCTTTTGCATTTAGCTTCATTCCTATCAACTTTAATCAATTTGAAGAAAACCATTCCCACAGCATGATCCTGCCACCACCATGTTTAGTAAAAAGGACTGACTTTTCAAATGCTAATCCATATTTAAATGGCCTCCCAGGTCAAATTATTTACTAACTTATCACATTAAATCTAAATTAAATAAACTATACAGTTACGGCATACATAACTGCACTCGCCATCATAAACAGTTCTGTATCAATCTAATCTTGTGAAGAGAGGTGGATGTAAAATTATTGCAGAAAAAGCAAATGAGTCTTGCCGAACAACAACGTTGACTGTCAGAGACACTGCAACCACAACACGTCTGCTTCTTCATCAGCAGAGATGACGACGACATCAACGACGTGGCCTCCATGGCGGGAGTGAATCTATCAGAGGAGAGCGCTAACATCCTGGCAACTAACTCCGGACTCGTCGGCGCGGTGACGCATTCCTGCAAGGATGAGGCCTTCCTCTCCTACGCCTTGCTGCAGAGGAGAATGCTGGAGATCGGTGAGGCTCTGGTCCTTCCTGACCGAACGAGAGCCTCCGGTCGGTCGGTCTCTCACCGCACCGTTTGTTTCGTCCTCCAGGTATGAAGTATGGCGTTACGGAGCTCGGCACAGAGGTGGTGAATTACGTCTCCCACGCCACCCAGCAGCGACTTCTGAACTTACTTGAAAAAGTCTCCCAAGTAGCCCAGCAGAAAAACATCAATTTCAAGGTTTGTTGATGAATTACACCAAATCAAGATGATTAGCAGAGCACATTTCATCAAGAAGGCAGCTCAAAGTGCCTTACATCATAATATAGAACCAATTATGAAACATAACCATGTCATCAAAATCACCATTACACATAAAAAATGTTGATCAGTGTTCCATTTACCATTAATCAAAGGCAACTTTCAGCTTTTTAGCCTTGATTTAAAGGAACTCAGTTTGTTCAACATTAGCAGGGCATAGAAGATTAATGCTGCATCTCCACCAGATTTCTCAAAGAGGCAGCTTCTTTGAGCTGCCCCTTTAAGACAGCTCATCAAAAACATACTGGGAGTGTTGCCTGTATTCTTCCATGCATGTTAGAGAAATCTTAAAGAGACGGAGGCCCAATTTCAAGGCGTTAAATTATGTCAGTTTTATTTTTCTTTTCACATGACTGAAGGCAGCACAGTTACTTGATTGTGCTATAAATGGAAGAAAACATAATACGGCTTTAAAACGATTACCGGTATGTCAGCATTGACTTCTTCTGAGGTAGCATTGTATCGATGACGTCTTTTAGCAGGAGGATGACAGCTATGAGCAGAGCAGCGACGTTCGGACTCAGCTGAAGTTCTTTGAGCAGCTTGACCAGCTGGAGAAACAGCGAAAGGAAGAGCAGGAGAGGGAGATCCTGCTGAAGGCAGCTAAGGTACGCTGTCATGAATCTAAAGAACGAAACCTTCATTAACACACACATGCCTGTTGTTGTTTTTAGCCGCCTGTTACATTTTTGTGTTCACCATAAACAGCCGTCTTAAATGTTTTGCCTACATACGACGTTTTAGTCACTTGACAGCTTTTCAGTTGACTCGAGAGCGCCTTACGGTTTGACCCCAGGGTCGGCCGGGATTGATTTATGACTCGACAACAGGGAGCCCGCTGCCAGCAAGCGTCCTAATTGGTATTTGGGTTGAATTTCTAACGTCAGATTTAACCACATGACATTAAATACGTAATGATTCATAGATTTTAGTTTGTTGAAGCCAGAATGTGTAAAAAACTTCCAGCTCTAGAAGAGTAAGCTTAAAGAAAACGAACCCTCTCTGCATTTCAAAGTTTACATTTGAACTTCTGGCTGTTGCTGTTTTGTTGAGAACAATTTCAACTGTCCAGGATTTCTGTGAGGACTTAAAGTCTGAAATTGATTCACCTTAGTTTTGGGGCTTTAGGACTTTACGTTTACGTAAAAAGTAATTAATCTATTACTAAATTATTTGACGACTATTGATTAATTTGTTCAGCCCTACAGTCATATCCATATACTGCAGAGTCTAAAGTTCAGCTGATAGTTGTCTATACACCTGGCTTATTTTGTTTTTAAATGACTGTCTTAATCCTCAGAGAGTTGTTTCTGATAGAGATCAGGCGGCCGTCTCTCAAAAGGGAATTTGACAATGTAAAAAGGGGTATCAATCTAAAAATATATACATTTTGGGGTTGTTGTTTTTCTTTTTTTACATTTTGATAAAACAAAAATGTTTCAAGTACTATGAAAAGTCTTGTCTGCAATCATCAGGGCAATCCTTCTGATAATCCCCAATTTGTTGGTATTTACAGTATTAATTGTGGTGATACGCTCTTAACATTTTTTTTTTTGTTGAAAGGCCTCTTTGCCATAACCCTAATCTCCACAGATTCTCAATCATGCTTAAGTAGATCAAAGTGACTTCAGAAAATGAAACCCATCATTGTCATCATTTACCACAGACTGTACGTCTGCTTGTTGTCGTTTTGTGCCACCTGTTGCATTTCTGTCTTTACAGTAAACAGTTGACTTAACACTGTGACTCTGCTGGGGTTAGATTTAACAAGTGGTTTTAAATGGTGCAACACATCAAACTCTGATTATTTAATAAGAGCTTTTTAATTGACACCTCTTGCCTTTTTATTATCTTGTGCAAAAATAAGTGGATTTTTTATTTATTTATTTTTGCCTGTTTTTTTTTTCTAGTTATTGCACGGTTATATAAGCAGTATCTTATTCTTTATGCTTTGCTGTTGACGTCAAACTGCAATCGAAGTGTCTCAAATAAACGACGACTTTTCTTCATGTCGGCCTTTCAGTCCCGAGCGCGGCAAGAGGATCCGGAGCAGCTGCGTTTGAAACAGAAGGCGAAAGAGGTACGAGTTGAGGCGGAGCACGGTCTGCAGGTCTCTCTGTCACGTTTACGACTGATTCAGTTTTTGGTGAGCGTATGTGTGTGTGTTTCTGTGTGTGTTGTCCAGATGCAGCAGCAGGAGCTGGCTCAGATGAGACAGAGGGAGGCCAACCTGACTGCTTTGGCAGCCATTGGTCCCAGGAAGAAGAAGAAGAACCTGGACTCTCCATCCTCATCTGCTTCAGCTGAGGTAACAATGAAGACAGTAATTAATGTTTGCACGATTTATGCCTGTGCACCTGCAGCAGCCAGGGCCGGATGCATTAGGATTCTGGGTCATCTCTCTCTCTCTATTTTTTTTCCCCACCTATCCTTGTTTTTATTAGCGCAACATCAGGGAAAAACTAAAAAGCAATAGTCGGATAATATTCTGTAATTGCATGTTTTGGTTATTATTTGACAGCACAATTAATAAGTTTATCATAGTTTATCTTTTCACACAGAGTCTCGCAACAAATATTTAGAGCATTTAAACTTTTTCTCAAAGTCAAAAACTTTTATGCATTTAAATAGCATCTAGTAAACAAAAAGTATCGCATAATTGACATTGATCATTGTAAAAACGATGCATGGCTTTCAGTTGCAAGTCTCTAGAGGTATGTTTCCTCTAGTCTTTAAAATGTGGAGAGTTTTGGAGGACTGTGCACTTTTTTTTTTTTTTTTTTTTAACAGACGTCTTTTTGCCCATCTTTCAAAATGCCCAGATTTATGGATTGGACAAATGCAGCTCCTGCAGAGTTATATTGGCTCATCTGACTTCTCTGATTAATATTTCCCTTGCTCAGTCTTGGTGGACAATCAGGTTTTGATACATTTGTGAACTTAATCATCATTTCCCCTACCATTTACCATTATGTCCAATTTTGTGTTGGCCTATCATATTTCTGTCACGACAACAAATTTTGCTGGACCATAAATTATGCCAGAAAGTATTGTGATAAACAATAACAATGTCATTTTGAGAACATTTTTCAACTAATATAATGATAATACTAGAACACCATCTCAAAAATCAAGAACATTTGACACTGGGACTGGAAAACATTTTAAAAATCCAAAATAACTAAACAAAACAACTGAGACAACAATAATTAAAATAGATTATGAAGCATCTGGAACCATTTCAAAAAATATTAATCAGTCCTCTTGGTCAGGGAAAACAGACAAAAGAGCCAGGTAGGATTTTTATATGAAAAAAAAAGTGCAAACTAACTACTTCAAAGTGGATGTCAAATGTTTCCAGTGTTTTTCAAAATGGCGGCTTTTCAACAATATTAAAAGGGAAGTGTCTTTTTAAAGATTATTGTCCAAGTCGAAATTATCAAGGTCATTTTTAATTTAGCGTGTGATGAATTGATTTATTGCTTGTCACGACAGGATTACCCCATCACAAAATAAAAAAATAAAAAAAATCACACTGAAGGTTGAGGATGCAATGTGATTAAAACGTTAAAAAAAGAGATATGAATACTTTAGCAAGGCACTGTCATCAACAGATCCTTTCTGAGAGTCACTAAGTGTATTTATAGCTCCAGTTTGAAACATTCTTTTTGTTAATGGTTACAAATGTTAGCGGTGAGAGTCGAGCCTGCTTCTCGGTGGCCGTGTTGGTGATAGAAAGCTGAGTTTGTCACCAGCTGTCACCGGCGGTCCTCACCAACTGCTCGAGCAGAGAAACTTGCAGAGCGACGGCTCTCATTAGGTCAAGCAGAGCTCTGTTCTCACTGCAACCGTCAGCTGACTCCTGTAAACACACATCAAACAAGTTTGATCCACATACGTCTAATGAAATGACACATTCAGTTTGGACTGTCATCCTTTATTCTCCCTGTTCTTGTGAAGAAAGACTTCTTTTTTTTTTTTTTTGGAGGAAACTGTTCATTGGCCTTTGAGAATTTGCCCTTCCTACTGCTTTTAGTGCAGTTTAATGTTACAGCTAACGCTTTATGGCACACTTGGAGAGGTGTCACTTTTATTAAAATCGCAAAATATTCACATTGACTTCTCACCTTGCACTAAAAGGTGTTTCAACATATCTTTTTTTATTACCTTCTATCTCCTTTAAATGATTTTACTTCTGCTTTGCCAACATGATCATTCGTTTTGGTTGAGCTAACGGTCTTTATGAGCTCCCTGGCTCATCGCTGATCAGTGTAATCTGCTTGTCTTTGGACAGTGGGTGGAATCTGGAAGAGAAGTGTGCTCAGAAGAACATGCAGGCTCTAACCCAGGGAAAGCCCCGGCCATATGGTGCTTTCTGTCCAAACACTCAGTTTGCTCTATGATACTCAGTTGCACGAGTAAAACCTAGAAAAAGAATAGTATAATGAAAAAAGTTCATTGTTTTTTTGTCACTCATTTCAGAAAGTGGGACTCATGTATTATATGGATGTGTTACACATACAACAGATATATTTAATGCTTTATTGTAGTTCCATTTGCTCTCAAAAATATGAAGACCTTAGATAATAAAGGGAATGATTCCAAAGTCCTGCAAAGGTATTCATACTGTTTGAACTTTTCCACATTTTGTCACTTTACGATCATATGAGACCTAAATAGAGGTTTCTTGGTCGACATGAAAATTCCTATATGAAGAATTAACACCAAAATTGCGCATCAGTTCGAACCAAACAACATCCACAGTAAAACTTTTTGGTGGCAGCATCATTTTCTGGGTATACTGTTATACAAACCAGGGTGTCTGCGCGTCCTTAAACAGTCTTAAATTCATGTATCTAAAATGAAGGCCTTAAAATGTCTTACTAAAATGTAATATGACCTTTAATATAACAGTCACATGTCTTAAATGGTGTCTTAGCAGCAGGGTTAAATCTCAGGCAAAAGTCTGAGTTGCACTCAGACATCGTTGCGTTCCGTGACTTCGCTGTTGAAGCTACTGGTAATTCACAGCTAATGTACACTTGCTAGCTAGCTTTTTGCATCTGTTATGGGTAAGTGGAAATTTACCACCAATTGGACGATGTTCGTACATTTCTGTCGTGATACAGGTCTTGCGGTACAGTCTTAAAAAGTCTTAAATTTGAGTTGGTAAAAACCTGCAGATACCCTACAAGCTGTACAATGACTGCTTTACATTGAATCAAAGTGTCATATTTTAAATGTTGTCCAATGAAAAGACATAAGGTATGTACAAAAATGTAATTGAGTGTACTCACTTTTGTAGCACACTATGTGCTTTTTCCACTCACTGCACAGTTATGCACTAGCACGTTTGTAGTTGTAACGTCACTTATCGCAGAGATGTTGTCAAGCGCCGTCAGCATCGCTCACCGTTTCCTTCTTCCTTAACTTCTCCACATCTTTCAGGGGTCCGGAACAGGCTTGTCTCTAACCGGCGCCGCTGGTTCCTCGGGCTCCAGACTCACTCGACAGCGCATCACGCGTGTCAATCTCAGGGACCTGCTCTTCTGCCTGGAGAACGAGAGATTTACCAGTCGCTCTCATTTCCTCTACAAGGGCTTTCTCAAATAGCCTTGATGTTTGAGAAAGAGAGAGAGAGAGAGAGATAGAGAGAGAGTAGAGGGGGGAGGAGGGAGCGACGTGAGTGGAGAGACCAAAACGCTCCCTCTAGAGAAAGACTCCTTTGGGTAAAAAGGAGAGGAGACGATCTATTTGGTGCATTTAAAGGTTCTTTAGGTTCACCTGCTATCATAAAATACAATCGTAGCCATACTGGAAGGCCTCTCTACCTCCCTCCTCAAGTGATGCCTCTTTTCCTTCAGAGCAGTCGTTGACTGATGCCCCTTTATCTGCCCTGTTAAAACCTCCTTTTCTTTCAAGATGGTGCAAAAGTAAAACGTGTTTTATGAAGGTTTTATTTTGTGTGAACAAAAGACATAATGTACAATTGTGCACTGTATCATAGTTTGGTTTATTTTCTGAACATTCGTATGCAAGCTAGGCTTTAAAGCTATGGAAATCACTAGTATTAGACAACCGGTTTGTTTTTGTTTTGTTTTTCTTGAATGATGATCTCGTTCTAGTTTGTGTTGATTTTTAGTTTGATCTCCAAACTGTGTAACCTGCTGAGTTGCCTTCCTAACTATGAATAAGCCATACAACCATTCTCACACAATTAACCCTGCTGTAAGCTCACTCTGTTCATCTCCATTACTTTGCAGCATATTTAAAAATTTCCATCGTATTTATTTACTAAAAATCTAAGTTTAAATTAATGTTTAGCTATTTATTTATTATGTGACGCTACAAGTGTGTCCTATTGCTTAAAGCTGGAAAAAAAAATTAAAAGTACATCCACAACAGGATATGTTTGAAATGACGTTTTAGATTTCAGATGCTTAGAGTTGGGTGTTCTTTATTTTTAATCTATTCTTTAGATTTAAACTTAAAATTTCTAATTCTAATAGTTTTTTTAAGGCTTCTAACCTCTGTTGCTATACCAAACTTCTTCAGTCTATTTTGGTAGCCTCCCAACACACATTTTTACTCCTGTTGCAAACTGACAGCGGTAATGTGACATTACTACTTTGGTGAGCTACTGGACAACCCTTTAGGTCTTTAGCGTGTCTGTCTTAAGAAACTAGAGTTTCTTCTTGTACATTTGTAAATGTTTCATCTAAAGTTTTACATACGGTTTTGTATAGAATTGAAAATTTATGCATACTGCATCAAGAAAATCTAAATTTCTCTACTGAAAAGTTTGAATAAAGGATGATTTTACATATTCCATGTATTGATGTTTTTTGCTTTGATTTTCACCAGGGGGCAGCATCTAAATATGTGCTGTATGTCTGTAAGGACTGCGAAGCTCTGTTACGCAAAGGACCTAAACCCTTAACATCTGTAAAACCACCTGTAGTTCACTGTACGCGTCCCCTGCGTCTGTGTCTGTGTGTGTGTGTGTGTGTGAAGTGCAGCAACAATCACTCTGCTCAGAACGAAATCACACGCATGCAGCCTGCTTACCAGTCTGTCTGACTCTTTGTTGAGTCGTCTTGTTTAAGGCTGTCCCCATTATCAGCCCCTGCACGGTGCACTGGAAACAGCTGTCACATCAGCTGCTAACATTCGCCATAATAAACCATTTGCTGGAAATGATTAGGCCCATTCTTCCACTGGGAAAGCAGCCTGATGGTTTAATGATTGGGAGCAGAGCAGCTTTTTTTTTCTTTTGTGTGTGTGAGTGTGTGTCTACGACGTCCATTAAAAAGGAATGCTACACAGCTCACAAAAAAATAGATCCTCATCCATTTGACGTCTCAGATTTTGTCACCACAAGCCTAAAAGTATACATTATAGGGATTTTTTTGTTGTTTTGATAGACCAAAACTATAAGTGGCACTCAGTTGTGAAGTGGAATAAGGGTTCAGGGTTTTCATTCCTGTTTGGAATTAAAATTATATGTGGTGTGCAGTTCTACTGATATACACTACTGACATATTTTCTACCAGCTTAGTCACATCTAGAAACATAGATTTCAAGATTTCCACAGATTTTTTAGGATTTAGATGTTGACTTTGACTGGACCATTCTAGCGCATCAATAGCTGAACATCTTATCTGACCAGAGCATTGTTTCTTTTCTTAGAGCTGCAACATGCAGTTCGTAGTATTTTTATTTATTTTATTTTGTTTTCTTGCCACTCTTCCATAAATTCAGGTTTATCTGAGCATGTAAGTTACTCTGACAGCTGTGGATCTCTGATGACTAATCGACCTGAAAAATAAAAGTTAAATCTTTCCAAATCACAACGTTTAAATGACTAAAATACATTACAACTTGCGGGTGCTAACCAACGATGTGGAGCTTTTCTTTTCCTTCAGGAAGATATATCCGGTAGCCACTAGATGGCAATATTTCATTCCCTTTATAAGGTTTATCTTGCTGACAGAGTCGTTCTCTTAAACATTAGGTTATAATAGCATTCACCATTCAATACTTATATTTCCCTTTACTCATTAAGCACCCAGTCTGCTCGGTGACCCTGCATCATCGACTTTGCTGTGAATAATCAATCAAAAAAAAAAAAAAAAAAAAAAAAAAAAAAAAAGCCAAGAAGAAGAAAGCCAAACCGGGGTCTCTTTCTGGTTGTGGGAACCTCGTCGAGGCCCGAAAGCCTCTCAGGGCGTCAATGTTCGACGGCAGCGGGGACTCAGGTAAGGCCTCGGCCCTTGTGTCTCGGCCCAATCCAATATTTTTCCTGGTAATCCTCCCTTCCGCTCCTCAGCCCTGCTGCTCTTTTCCGAGTTAAGTCCACATAAGCTCCCACTTGAGTGCCAGAGGCAGAGCAGCGCCAGGGATGGTGCGGTTGCCTAGCGACGCCTCAGTCGCTGCACCTGAGGGTGTTGGGTAAACACCGCGAGCCTGCCAAAGGCAAGAGGAAACGAGTGACATCACCAGCCCGACACCCTCGCCTCCTCCCTTCGTGACATTTATTGCAAAAGGCTTTTATTAACGTCTTACACTCAGTGTCGCTGTTTCTGTTTTCACCCCGGGGTGAGATCATTAATGAGTCTCATGCAAGTTCAAATGTGTGCACATGCGCGCGCGCGTGTTCTTCTCAATTGTCACTTTTGTCAGATTCCAAGATGGGATTTGACTGATGTGATAGTTCCTCTCAGTGGGGCGTTTCTGCTGCACTTCCACGATAAGCCTCTAATCTAAAACAATCTTCCTTTGTTTACTCTCACAGAGAAGCTCATCGCGGTTTGCACTTTAACTCTGATTACGGCACGATCCCTATAGCTTTGTAAATACTAAAACTCAGATCATATTTTAGTGCGATGTTATCTTTGCAAGCTGGTGAATTAAAAAAAAAAATCCATTTGCAGTCGCGTCGCATTCATGCTGTGAGACAAATGCATTGGTAGTCGCTAAATTGTTTTATTCCTTTCAACACCTCCTTCTCTAATGTTGATTAAGCCAGGGGCTTATGAATAAAAAATCTGCTGGAAGGGGTTCCGGGGAGGGAATATGATTGAGGTGAACTGATGTGGCACAATGTGATTCAGTCGGT